CGGTGCGGGCGGCGGCCGCGGCTGCCCGGGCGCCCGGGATGTATTTATCCGACCTCGGGCGCCTCCCGGAAGCCGCAAGCTCGGATCCCAGGCTGCGGAGCCGGCCGCGCTCCTCGGCTCCGCGAGCCGACCTCCCTCCTCTTCTTCCTCCTCCTCCTCCTCTTCTCCTGCCCCCGGCCCGCCCCCTCTCCCCCCGCCGAGGTGGAGGTGAACGCGGCACCTGCTGCGCCCGGCTCCTGCGCGCGAGCGCCCCCTCCAGCCGCGCCGTCGCCGCCGCGGGATCTGCGGAGGGGGCGGGGAAAGGGGACACCCCGGCGCCCCCCCTCGGCCCGAGGATCCCCTGCCCGTCCCCACTCCGCGCCAGGCGGGGCGGGGGAGGAGGAGGCGCCGGGAGCATCGGGCGCTGGTGGGCTAGGGGTCCCAGAGGAGTCGGCGTGCGCGGGAAGTGAGCGAACTGAGTGGTCTTCGAGGCTAGGCTCTGGCAGCCGCGCGGGGCCCCCACCCACCCGCATGCGCCGGGTCTCTGTGACCTCTGCTCGCCTCAGAGGTGCTCGCCGCCCAGCTGCCCGCACCGCACTCCCAGTCCCGAGCCCAAGGGTCGCCAGCATTCGGGAGCAACCCTCTCGCCCTTTTTCGAGGTGCAGATCCGGTTGTCTTTTGTGTCCGCGGAGCAGGGTCAAGGAGGCGCATTTGCCAATTTCAGGTCGCCTGTCACCCGCAGCGTCGGGTCACCCGCGACCGACCGCAGCACCCACTCCAAAATGAATGCCACCTGAGTACGACGCTAGAAGGATCTATTGCCAACACAAGTTATATATACAGAAACGTGAATGGTGACGGTATTCCCCACCCCCGCCCCAAAATCTTTAACTCCCGTTTTGAACGCCGAATGCACAGGCGCACGCATCCATATTCACGTGAAGACAATCCTCTCCCGCGCTCCACCGGCACCCTTGCCCAGCCCGAGCTGTTATCAATAACACCCGCCCTGCGGCAACCGGCTGTATTAGCGTATTTCCTTCTGCACCCCGCCCGGCACACGGGAGGACGGCGCCGCCGCACCTTTCACCCAGCGTCCCCACAGGTTGGAGACATTTTATATTCTGAGAAGTTTCCTGATGAAAGTCTTGGATAGAGTAATCCATTTTCAGTCTTATTTGGGGAAAAATTGTGAAAGAAATGCCTTTGCTTTCCAGAAGAATACACTCTAAACCACATATACTGAATTCTTTTGCATTTCCATTATTTGCTTACATTTTTAACCTGCAGTTCTTTTTTGTTATGGGCAACGTGTAGTTCCCCTGTAAAATACTGGCACATCCGAGGAAGAGAATTCTTTCTGAAGGCTGCCAGTGGGCTGGGCTTGGGGCGGGAGAGGCTGTGGCCTTTCCTGCGTGACTGAGAAGAGGAGATTAGATAGCATGGGCCGAGGAGCCCCAAGGGCTGCCAGGACGCCAAACCTCCGGAAATGGGTCTCAAAACTTGCACACTGGGGCGACAGTGCACATTGGGTATGTAGTAAGGATTTTTTTCCCGAACTTCACATTCTTTATTAGCTTGACTTTTTCTTCCCTCCCCTGTCCCCATTATAAGAGAGAATAAATGCAAAGTGCTCACCTTGCTGTCTGCAACAGAGGAAGAGCTCAATAAATGCTGGTAGTTCTTATTACTACCGCTGCTACTCTTAGTGTTATATAAAGTTTGCACTTCTATTTCTGAATTTAAATACAACTTGACAGATGTTATTTATTTCCTGTTCAGTGGCTGACTTTTCCAGAAGAGGTTTCCTTGTGTTTGGCTCTGCTTCTTTAACCCAAAACTCACAAGGACGTGTTCATTTTCTTATAACTCATCACAAAACAAACATTGCCAGTGACCTTGATGGCCATTACAATTATAGTAATAAATAATATTGAAGGGGCCATCCTTGTGGTGTACTGGTTAAGTTCGGGCACTCTGCTTCAGTGGCCCAGGATTCGAAGGTTTCGATCCCAGGCACAGACCTATGCACTGCTCATCCAGCCATGCTGTGGCAGGCGTCCCACATATAAAATAGAGGAAGATGGGCAGAGATGTTAGCTCAGGGCCAGTCGTCCTCAGCAAAAAGAGGAAGATTGGCAGCAAATGTTACCTCAAGGCTAATCTTCCTCACAAAATAGTAATAATGATAATGAACTTTGCAGGGTTGGCTTTCAATACACATTCTCATCCAGAGCTCATGGAACTCCCAAGAGGTAGGTCTTCCAGATGAGGCTGTGAGGGTTAGGTGACTGAGGCTTGGCCTGCCCCTGAGCCACACAGCTGGCTTTGAACCCAGATCTTCTGACTGACGTCCAGGGTTTCTTCTTTTCGACATGCAGGGACAGATTGCAATACCATAGGAAAGAGCGTTAAAGATATTCGTTAGTATGCATTTTTAGGTGGGAGAAGACCTAGCCCTGGGGAGGAGTTTCATTGCCAAGCTGTGATTAGTCTTTGTCCCAAAAAGGTGATAAAAATCCTCAAATGGTACATTCCAAGAATTTGGAGACACACGGGAAAATGGTACTCTCTGCTAAAATGATTCAACATAACTGTTTGGAATTAGCCATCTGCAGCAGTGACCTCAGCATTATAATTAACTTGCTGATTAGATTAAAGGTTGCCCTAAATCCCACTTGGATCAACGTGCCCCCCAAGTCTAGTCAAGAAAGCTAACTAATTTAAAATAACTGGCCTTCAATTCATTTAGACAAACCACAAGGGACCTCATAGAGGGACCAGAACAAAAGGCACCCAGAGGAAGAATTTGACACTCTGATAGCCTCCATGGTGAGTCTTGAGGTTCACTGGCTGGTACAGGGCAGCCGACCAGGCCCCTGGAATCACATTACCCCCATCTGCTTTTCTGCCTGGTAGTTATCACCAAGTGCTAGTTTTCTTGTTTACTATTTATTTACTACCTCCTCCCTCTAGACAGGTACCTTGTACTCAGCTCTATTTCTGGTGCCTGAAACAGTGCCTGGTACACACAAGACAATACGTATTTGTTGAATAAACGAGTGTATCAAGTGACTGTCACTTGATGATATTATCTATTAGGATCCTACAACTCTGTTTACTTTGATTCTTGTCACCAAATAACCTTTTCATATTTGCTCAACATCTCAAATATAGTGCTCAGATCAGCCAACACAAGAATTCAAATGAACTTGACAATTATATTTCTTGTTGATAATTATTGCGGTTAATGGATTCACTCCCAATATGAAGTTCTTGTGGGCAGTTATTGGCTTGCAGACAGTTTGGCTTGTAGGTCGAATGCAGCTCACAGACCACACACAATGTTTCCAGAAAAATAATTACCAACATTTGAAAATCAGGAGATTGAACATTAAAGAAAAGTACGTAGCAGAAGCCCTGGCCCTTCTGATGCCCGTTTTGCAGGGCCATGCTTTGTTGGCATGCAGCAGATGGGCAGGTATTCTCCAGCTCCCTTCATCCCTGCTTGGCACACATCCCTCATGCACATCATTTGTCTGCCCCTAAAAGCATCTGAGTTTGTGACCCTAAGTTTATGTTAGTATCCTGAACTCACTGGTCTCCATAAAGAAGCAGAACCATTCTCTCTTCCTTTGAAAGCCATGTTAAATAATCTACCAGTTTGTAATTTCCTAAAAATTAAGAAAATAAAGAAATGAAAGATGTAACCTAATCACTAATACACTTGAACAATTTTATTTCCTTGGAGATAACAGGAGGAAAAAAAAATTTTAGCTTACTTCTCAAGTTGATAGAAATCTAATTTTAAATCCTTGACAATTCTATAAAAGTTAGTTCCAAGGAACTGGTGTCAGGATTAATTAACTTAAAATGTGCAATACTAGTCATAGCAAATGGATTTCACATTACTTTTACCTGTATGTTCACGGTTTTTACTTATATTTGAAATATAGATAGATATCACATTTTGGAATATTATGCATCTTTTTTCTTACTGCAGTTTGATTTCTTTCAAATAATTGCTTGGAAAGTAGTTTATCTTGATTTTTGGAGGATGGGTGAAAGTGATATGAAATACCTTCAAACTCTATGGGCCGGCCCTGTGGCTTGGTGGTTAAGTGCGCGCGCTGCAATGCTGGTGGCCCGGGTTCGGATCCTGGGTGCGCATTGAGGCACCACTTCTCCGTCCATCCTGAGGCCGAGTCCCACATACAGCAACTAGAAGGATGTGCAGCTATGACATACAACTATCTACTGGGGCTTTGGAGGGAAAAAATAAAATAAATAAAATCTCTGAAATACCTTCAAACTCTAATTGTGTATACTTGAACATTATTTATATCATCGTTTGACTTTTGGAATGTCAACTCTGACTCTCTAACAAGGAATTTGACATTTATAAAACCTATCATAAATGAAAATGAAAAAGCTACTTTTGTTCAGTGACAGAAGTAATAAAAATGTCACATAATCTAACCTAAGGAAAACTGCAGGTAATATCTTGAGAAAAACTACTCACTCATCGAGTACAAGTGAAATTCATCCTTTCTGATCAAAAGGCCAAGTGAAAATAAATAACAAAGTCAAGATAAGACTTCTGTACAAAAAGCTCTTCGATTGTAAATATGATTGATAAGGCCTAATTACTTTTAAAAGCTTGGTTAAAATTTAATTTTGAACTCTTTTACTGAGTTAAAAAACAATATAACAAATTGATCTAGAATTTGATGTTGGCTTTTCTTTGCTAAAAATCACAGATGTCCTGTTTGCCTCATTGTGCTTAAGAATGTTCTTTGTCACGCACATACAGGAAAAAGGACAGAATGCCAGGACCTACAGGTGAACATTATATGTTTATTTCCAGCATGGAGACAGCCTCTTTTGTTTGAGGAGAATCATCCCAAAATTTGCAAATGAACCTCCGGCTTCAAGTATAGACACTGGAGCTTCAGTAATGGGTGAGCGATTGGAAGATGGTCATTGTCAGGAGGGTGTGTGGGAACAATGATCAGGTAATGAAGATTTAGGGGTAGAAACTTTCACTTCCTAAGAGAGATAAAATAATGCTCTTTGAACAACTCTTTTCCTAGTTCTTTCCCTGCTAATTCTAAATAGAGATGTAGAAATCCCTACACTGAATGGTCTCGGTGTTCTCTGAGCTAACTCTAAAGGTATTAAATGGATTTCCTTCAATTACTAGAAGCTAAGGGGTAAGAGTAAGGGTTACTCCTGAATGGAGTAGATCGCACACCCAGAATACATGTTCTAAGGCAAGGTGTTTTTCTTTTCCTTTTCCCTTTTTCTCCCGAAAGCCCCAGTAGATAGTTGTATGTCATAGTTGCATATCCTTCTAGTTGCTGTATGTGGGATGCTGCCTCAGCATGGCCGGACAAGTGGTGCGTCAGTGCACGCCCGGGATCCCAACCCGGGCCGCCAGTAGTGGAGCTCGTGCACTTAACCGCTAAGCCACGGGGCTGGCCACTGAGGCAAGGTGTTTTGAAAAATTTTTTAGATAAATTTTTGTCTTTAATAAGGTTATTTTGAATTTATGATATTAGATAGTCATACAGGATTTTTCATATTTAAAAAATTAGCCATATATGCATATTTATCTTCAGTTTAAATT